TCAATTCATTCCATAACTGGGTGGGGACTCCTGAGGGTTTTTGGGAAAAGGTAATTAGTGACGAGCGCAGAGCTGTGGGGTAGAAAGGTTAATCTGATAGCATGTGTAGGATGAACAGGTGTGGAGTAGACTAGAGGTGGGGACACCCAATAAAGGGCCATTTCAATGGCTCAGGTGAGAAACGGGGACAACTGAACCAGGACAGTAGCAAAGGGCGCTTCAGTAAGAAAACAGATTTGAGATACTGTGAACGTAGAAACACTGGAATAAATTGTACATAGTGATGGGAAAGAGGAAGCATAGCTCCATGGTGCTGAGCCTGGGTGCCCAGCAGGGATCTAACGGTGCTTCCCCTGAAGCTGTTGATCTCAGGACACAGCACCGCAACTGCCTGAGCCTATCGACATGTCTGCCTGTGATGTGGGCCATGGCGGAGCCACGCTCAGTGGCTGCCAATGCTGATGTGGCACTCCCCCCATCCAAACACCAAACCAACATCCATCGTTTACCAGATGGAAAGCATGAGGACAAACCTTCTGAAAACCTGATTTGGAATCGTGGCTCACCCATGAATTTGACATATGACCTTAGGTGAGTGACTCTCATTACTGAGCTTTTGAACCCCGATCAGTAAAAGAGAGACAAAATCCCCTACTTGTGCTTATCGCTTATGTTTTTTGTGAGGTCCTCAAAGCATTTTGGAAGCTGAAAATCCCTGTGCAAAGGGGAATTACTAATATTACGGTCACTGTCCTCCTCAAGCAATCTCTTCCATCCTCAGCTTTATACAGACCTAGGTATTATTAGCACCTGACTGGAGGCCTATATCCACATCTATCCTTCTCCCCACCCGAACTAACACTTCTTTTTTGTTTCTCTGATCCTGGAATTGAGAGATATTTAGCATAGGGATTACCATAAAGATAGTTTTCTCCCAAATGCCACCAATTCTTGCAGGACACCCAATATATACAACCTCCATTTCACTGTGGGAAAGACCACAATGAAATGAAATTTAAATATTTTGATATTACTTGAATATCTGAAATGCTACTGTATCAACATTCTCAAATATTTTCTTAATCTCAACAATTCCCAGGTCTTGGGGATCCGTAAACACTGACCCTGGTAGTTCACTACCTTCACTCTCCTCTCTGACGCATTAAATATCCCCAGATTCAAACACTAAATGAACAGTAGGAATCTGTTCTGACTCTGGATAAGATAAGCTTGGTGTTGGATTTATTGAAAGGTGATTGGTTGATCTCCAAGTTCTCACTCTCCTGAAGGATTTTTCCAAGGAAATTTTAAGAGATGGTTTTAGAATATAACTTACCCCCACCCCCACTAGTTGGGTCTCCACAGCTTTCCAGAGATGCACAGCACGAGCACTCTTAACATATTGCAGAGGAAATACCTGTCTCTGCAACAGAGCCGAGGCTGCCACAGATTAGGTTTATGACAAGGAAGTGGAAGCTAAAGCTACCTGCCACTGTGGACCTGAAAGTGATGACTGCCTCTAGGTCTTGGCTCTGGGGCTTTCCAGCTGACTCACCTTACCTGAATATTGGAGAAAATACACATCCTACCTCACGGGAATGTGAAGATAACACACAGGACAAAAGTTCTGTGAACAACACAACCACCAGCAGATATCAGCTTTTATAAAATGGCAAAGAGAAGAGATTCCACTGTGTCTTTAAGAGGATTTCCAGTGAGAAGAGAACATTTCTCTCTTATAAAGACTTGCTTATAAAAATATTTTTCAAGGAACTCAGCTCACATGGTCCAGGAGACACATTATGGTCTGCTGTGGCATGCAGATTCAGTGCTCAGCACATTATGGAAACACAGATATAATCACGGTCCCCCAAGGCTTGTAGGTTCTGATTTGGTCTCCTTCCTCTCTTCATTCTTTCCTTCCTTTCTTTTTTCTTTTTTTTTTTTCTTTTCTTTCCTACTTTCTCCTTCCCTTCTTCTACTTCTATTTCACACCATGGCGTGGAAAAATTAAAGCAGCTTATCTCAAATCTAAAGGAGATTTCTTTCTTTCATTTTTTGAAAACTTTTTCCTTAATGGGTTAAATGCCAAACTCCTAAGAACTTCTCAACGTAACAAAAGGTAATTGTTTTAAGGCACCGAGGTATGCTTTCCATCAGTGCCTAAAAAATTGGAAATAAATGAAAGCCAGTGAAAAAGCTGAACAGTCCTCACTTGGCAATCATTCAGCCCTTGCAGATTTCCAAGCCTTTTGCAATCATTAATTAATTAGTGAAGATGACATTCCACTTTACTGAGGCTGGGAGCAGGACATAAAGAGGTCTAGAGGCTTTTCCTCAAGCTGAAAGAAGAATATCAAGGGAGGAACTGGGATTCGAATTAGGAGCTCACTTCTCAAGCCAGGAGTCGCATCGCTAAGCCAAGCAAAGTTAATATTTGAGACGATAAGGTGCTCTGTGCACAGGTGCAGTTGAATACAGTCGTGTTCTGCTCAAAGACCAACTGTGAAAGAGCCCACCCCTTCACCCACCAATGCTCCCACAACACACACAGACGATATCTGTAGCTTCACCAGCCTCTTTCCCCTTTCCCAAAACAAAGACAGATGGCTAAATATCAATCTCTAACCACTCTCCTTAATAATCACAGCAAAAAGTACATGATTTGATTTTCATTTTTAAAATGCAAAATATGATGTTAAAACACATGACACTGTTGAAAAACAAATATTTCAGAATTTGTTTTTAAATGACACGTCCAGAATCCTTAACAAGGTGATAGATCATCCTGAATAATTCTTTTACTGCAATAAGAAGGAAAATAAAGTTTCATGCTTTCTGGAGAGGGGTTAATAAAAGTTCATTCTGTCACCCCAAGTAAGCTGATGAAGACAGACCAAATACTAGTGATGTTTCTGGACCTAACATCTTAGAACCAGGTCTTGCAGCGGGTGCTGATCCTTTTGTTTACACTACTGGATTGCTTCCAGAGGGCCCAGTGACATGATGGGAAATCAGGAAACTCAAAGATTGGCTTTGTACTTCACCAGATCATTCTCTCCACCTAGACATACTTTTGCTCTGTCTCATGTCTGTTTCCCCAGGTGGGGTAATAGGATCCTTAAATAACTCAGGGCCCACCTCCTGCTCTTAGGAACATCACTCAGCCATCCTATCACAGTCAGGCTGCTTTGGACAGGGCAAAACTGCATACCTATTGGAACTTAAATGTTGATGGCCATTGTCCCAACCTAAATTTTTAATCTTCTGTAGGGGAATTTGTTGCAATTGTACCAAAGTGAGATAAAGTTGAATAACCCCATGTTCTTCTGAACCGGTTGCTCTGGGGTCAGGATGGACGAATGCAAATATACTGCAATGTTAACAAAGGGCAAGGTTGTCCAGCTTGGCTATTTTGGGCAATATTTATCTTAAAAACAAAACAAAACAAAACAAAAAACCCTCAATAACATTTCTTTTCATACAGAGATTTTGGGAAAGAAAGTCCTTCCAAGAGTAATGTTTCAAAAACACTTAACATTTTCACTTGAAATCTTTATGTTGGAAGATGATCATGGCTTGGTCCACTTTCATGTAATGGGCAATCATAAGGTTGATGGATGTCTCCAGCTACCCACAGGCCCCACTTGCTGGGAAGGGCTCTTTCCTCTAAGGAACCTAAAATCCATCTGCATCATTAACAGAACAGATGCTTTCATGTGAGAATAGTGATTTAGTAAACTCCCTATCCAGAGAGTAAGGACCTCACTAAATCCTGTTATAATGTTGAAAGTGTGAATGGATATGCCTGGAAGTTGACAATCTCAACTGTGTAAAGGATTAAAAAAAAACCAAACATATAGTCCAAACTTCCACCCAGTACATCCTCCCAATTTATCATTGAACTTCTCGATAATCAAGGGCTCTCCAATTTCTGATTTCTTACAGTTCTTACTACGGGGAAGGGAGTGCTCGGTTCTAACACAATGGCTGGAAACTAGATTGGTTTCTCCATCTATCTCCTTCTAAGTAACTCTCCTTGGTTCCTCTTTTCACGGTGGGAGGAAACATCATCATGTTGGTTCAAGGACACATGAAAAATCCAAGTTGTAGGTGAGTAGGTGTGTATAGTATTATATCTTGCCTATTCACAGGAAGTAATTGAACTTGTTGACTTAAAACACATACATGCTTGAAATTAAATCAAACAACAAAAAAGATAACTGTCATAAAGAATATTTTTAAGTTGCCTAATAGGGTTAATGGTTGGAGAGTAATATTCTTCTTGGAGGATCATTAATGTAGATAAACAAGGGGTAGTAAACAAGTGCCATTCTACTGTAGCCCCTTCCCAAAGAAAACTAGACAAGGTATCTGCATTACCTTAGATCTCCTTAGCCTCACCTGTCTCCTGGGCCCTTGTCCACTTTTTCTTCCCCATCAGTCACTATGGTACCAAGTTTGCTTGGGTTCTGACCACCTTCACATGAGCCCAACCTGTCATCAGCTCATCTCATGCTGCCCTGAGCACCTCTCACCTCCACATGTGGGGATTCCCTGTCCCTGCTGAGGCATCAGATACTTCAGATCTATTTAGTGACCAAGTAAATGCAACATCTAAGCGTGAGGAAGTCTATGACCCACAGAAGGAAGCTCTGACCAACAGGAAAGGAGCCGGAAGATAAATTATTTTCCCTTCCTCTCCCCGAACAGATTGTCCTGAGCTGCTACGGTTCATATGGTCTTTTGGAAGATGGTCCTTCAAGATTGAAAAATTAGTTGTACTTGATACTAAACGGAAGCCATACTGGTAACACGCCCCCATACCCCCAAATAGGATCTCCCCATTTTCCTGCTTCGCTCATGCACTTCCTTCAGATTGTACTTTCTAATGAAATAAAAGTAGCACATACACTTCTGCCTTAGGCTCTGCTTCCTGGGGAAGGCAGACCAAGATAGGTACCCCCTTATTCCCATCACTGTATCAATGAGTTCCCTACCTTTTGTTGCAGTGGTGGTGCACAGCGGGCTGAGACAGGATCTGTGATATAGGTCTTCTTGGGACCAGCAACTGGATACATCCCAGCAGGGTTCTGGTTCCCGGTGCCAAAAGGAATATAGCCTTGTTCCCGCTTCCAGGTATTTGGGTGACCTTGTTGACCATAGGCAGGATCAGAGTCATTTTTGCCCCCATAGCCAGGCCCCGCTGCACAATAGGGCTCATAATAACGTCCTTGGTTGGGGGCATACCCATACCCAGGCTCAGGCTGAAGTCCTGGTGGTGGGATATACGCATAATCCATGCCTCCCCGTGCAGAAGGAGGTGGACCCTGCCCAGCGATAGGAACTGGTTGAGTGTTATAGCCCTGGGCCCCTGGCCCTGAGCCATAAAATTGTCCTGGTGAAGGGGCAGCCATGTAATGAGAGCTGGGCTGGGCTGACTTCACCTGCACATTGAAGGTAGGCCTTGAAGGGGTAGATGCCGTAGTGTAGGAGGCTGGGGCGGGCTGAGGCTGGGGTTTTAGCGTTCCAATTGGAGCCACGGGGATGGGTCCAGCCTGGGGTACAGGCTGTGGCTTCAATGTAGACTTTTTCGTTGCCGTCAGAGGGGGCTGGTTTGGTATGACCATTCTCTTATGTCCTGTGACAGGGGTGGAGACTGGAGGAGAAGCTGTTGTTGAGCTAGTAGAGCCCTAAAGCAGAAAAGAGAAAAGGAAAAAAAAAAAAGACAAAGATTATTGCTAATAAAAAATAAAAATACATAAACAGACAAATATTAATAAATGCCATTATTACTTTTGTATTAACTCGGCAAAACATAAACAAGGCATGGTTCCTGCCTTCTAAGAGTTCACAGACAACACAAAAATCAGCTGTGCTTCTGTGTACCAATTCCATTTATAATAACATCAAAAAGAAAGAAAAAACTTAGGAATAAACTTAACCAAAGAGGTGAAAGTCTTATACACTGAAAAGTACAAAATGTTGCTGATACATTAAAGAAGATACAGCTAAATGGAAAGACATATCATGTTCATGGACTGGAAGACTGGATACTGTAAAAATGTTAATACTACCCAGAGCAATGTACAGATTTAATGCAATCCCTGTCAAAATCCCAATGGAACTTTTCTGCAAAAATAGACAAATCCATTTGCAATCTCAAGAGACTCTGAATAATCAAAACAATCTTGAAAAAGAAGACTGGAGCTCTCACACTATGCAACTTCAAAATTTATTACAAAGCTACAATAATCAGTGTTCCACTGGCATAGAGACAGACATAGACCAATGGAATAGAATTGAGAGCCCAGAAACACACCCTTGCATACACGGTTTGATTTTTGACATAGGTGCTGAGACCATTTGATGGGGAAAGGATAGTCTTTTCAACAAATGGTGCTGGGAATACTGGACATCCACATGCAAAAGAATGAAGCTGGACCCTTACTTTACACCGTATACAAAAAGTAACCCAAAATTCTAGCTCTAAATGTAAGAGCTAAAACTATAAAACTCCTTAAAAAAAACACAGAAGAAAAAAATTCATGACATTGGATTTGGCAATGATTTTTTTTAAAAAATACATATAGAAACATCAAAAGCACCAGCACCAAAAGAAAACAGATAAATTGAACAATGGGATCTCAAACAGACTACCCGAAGACTTGGTCACCATACTGCTAAAAGGCAATACTAGAGAAAGAGAGCTGAAGGACTAAGCAGAGGGAACAAAAAAAAGCAATGAGGGGTGTTGGGAGAAATAAACAAATACTGCTGGCACAACCAAAGAAATACTAAATTTAGGATCAAAGATTCCTGTCAAGGAGTGATTTACCAAAGATAACTCAAATGCAGCCTCCTCCCTTTACATCTTTCTGGTTTTTGTCGCATTCATTTGTTCAATTCAGAAATACTTACTGAATGCCCTAAAACTGTCCTAAGGCCACAAAGATTAAAAGACTTTCTGATGAACTGTGAGAGGTCTTGGTTAGGCTGGGGATAAGTAAAGGCTTACGGAAGGTTTGAAGATTCAAACATTCATCCTAAGGCACTAGTCTATTAGGGATCTGTAAACATTCCAGTGACAGACTGTCTTAATTTTGCGCTGGCTTACTATGATTAGATCTGTTGATACAAGAAATGAATGACCACACCTTAATTCGGTTGTTCATTAATTTCCAGGTCAATTCTAGTATGTATAGGAAGAAACGACACAAGACTTTATATTACTCTAGTGTCATTTGCCCACACCAAGCCATCAGAGATACATACATGTGGTGCAGATGCTAACTGCTTCCCCATACCCACCGCCCTTCTTCATTACTCAAAAAATTTCAGTTTTGTTTGGGGCAGCAATGTGCCCACTCTTCCCTAGATTACTTTGCAGGTAGGAGTTGCCATGTGACACAGTTCTGGCCAATGAGATGTATGCGAAGCATTTCTGGAAAAGCTAGAGCTCTCCTGACACAGCATGATCCCTTCCTACTTTTCCCTTTTCCTCCTTCCTGCCTGGGATGTGGATGTGGGGCTGGAGACAGTACAGCCATCCTGTCCCCACCATAACATACAAGTATACTGATTTAGACATATGGCTTTCTGGGAAGAGCTTTCTGGTGATCTAGGTTGATCCAGAGATAAAGATTAAAACATTTCAGGGACGTTTGGTTAAAATATAGTAGTTCTCTTTCTTTTTTTCTGGCCATGCCATGCTGCTTGCCTGATCTTAGTTCCCGAACCAGGTATCCTGGAACTAAGGGATCAAACTTATGCCCCCTTCAGTGGAAGCATGGAATTCTAACCAGTGGACTGCCAGGGAATTCTCTGTATAGCGGTTCTCAACTGGAGAGGAAATCACCTAGCCACCAGGGAGAGTTTAGAAATGTGTGGCAATGTTTTTTACTGTCACAGTGATTAGGGGATTCTATTTTCATTGAATGGTTAAAAGGCAAAAACACATCATTGTCAAACCCAAGATGACAACAGTGCCCCTGTCGAGAGACACCAGTAAACTCCTGAGCCACATGTCTTCTGGGAACCTGATTGTGAAGTTCCCAGCTGTCAGCCAAGGAGGGTCACTGGTCCTTTCTAGGATCTCTCTTCTACCACACTCTCTCCTCCTATTTAAATCACTGCTCTCCCCCTTGGTCCTCTTGAACCTAGGGAGATGACAGTTCTGACTCTGCTAGCCCCAGATTATCACTTTGTCCCTAATGGCTTCTCTATACCCAAGTGGACCTATGTACACAATGCATTTATAAATCAGCTCCTTGAAAGGGACTAGTTTCTGTGTGCTATCATTTTCATTGGGATCTGACTGTGACGGCTATCTTTTCCTGTCATATTTGTGATTTGTCTCAATTGCAGTTTCCTAGAGATTTTGTAATTCTAGATTTAGTTTTCTGTTAAGTTACAGAAAGCTGTTGAATAGAGTTATCTTTTTTCCTTTTTTGATAGCCTCTGAGGGAGCAAACCTGCCATTTCCTTTTGTCATTTAAGCATCATTGAGTATTCTTGTCTTGGTGGAGTAGCCTTTCCCTTCTGTATGAAGGTCGTCCCAGTAGTACCCAACAGAAGATGCAGTTTCCACATTAAGTGGTTTGTTAAAATATATATCCTGAAGAAATTCCTAAATAAATGCTCAGTAAGACCCTGACATTCTGTAGCAGAGAGTATGGAAGAGTCAGTTTGAACCTAAAAAAAAAAAAAGTAAGGTTAGATTTTTCTAGTCAACCATGTCGGTCTTAAAAAATGGCCACATTGGGGACTGACTCTTCCCCCCATTAGCGTGGTACTGGCCACTGAACAGAAGAGGAGCCCTGGCTCACACCTGGCTCTGGCCCTAGCCCCTCCATCTCCAGCCCCACCTCCTACCAAGGTGATAGCTGCCAGCACACCCTGGGGAAAGATGTAACTCGTGCTCACTTCAGATACAGTTCTCCCAACAAAGCCACTGGGTAGACTGTATAGGGATGGTCTCACACAAGGACACCTCTTCAAGACTGGGATGGGTAACTGTTTCATCAAATTTCAGTGAGACAGAGAAAGTTAAGCAAAATGAGAAGGCCGAGGAATTTGTTTCAAAGGAAAAAAAAACCTGACAAAACAACTAATGAAACAGAGATAATTTATCAAATAAAGAGTTCAATCAAGGCTTTAAAAAAATGATGCTACTGTGCTATGAAATTTTGATAAAAGCATTGTTTTAAAAGTGCTTAAGTGTTTATCAGTGTTTAGGTGTACAGAATTGTGCAAAATCACTGATGGAGTATTTTTGAAAGATGATGATAATAATAATTGTTATTATTATTGTTAACTATAATAATTACAGCTTAAAATAGTTTACTGTGTTACACCCTCTACTAAGCAGTTAACAAATCTATCGTTTTATTATAATTTGTTAAAAGTTCCTGAGAAATAAAAATTAAACTTGATAAATGTAAAAAAAAAATGTCCACATGGATGGAACTGAATATAAGAAGGAATAAAGCTTTGCTTTTCTTTGATGACTCAAGATCAGCAGAAACCCAGAGTTCCTATTTTAAACACTTTACAAACCCAACTATAAATGGAGACAGTGACTGAGCAACTGAGCTAATGACAGGCAAACTCTGGGCCACAGCTGGAAAGGAGTCTGCCCCAAAAACAGATACTTCAAAAGTCACATACTTTGAAGATGAAAACCAATCACATTCATAAAGTAAACAAAAAAGAATGCAGACCTAACTCCTTAGAAGCAACTTTTTTCAACAAATTTCTTTCACTTTTTCTTTCTTGGTGAACATACACACATGTGCACACACATTCACTACTTACAGATTCCTAAAGTCTTTGAAGGAAGGCATCAGGGAGCAATTTCAGGAGCCATTGCTATCTTCTAGGAAATATCTCCCTAGATGAGAAGGTTTCTCACAACGTTATTATGAATTCTGCTATGTATGTGCCGGCATGTTTCTGAGTATTTTCTATTTCAAAACTACGTGTGTGAAAATAGCACATTTAGCTCTATTTTTTTCCTTTGCAATTTTAAATTCTTTACCTCATTGGAGGTGGAAGGGGTAAAGAACAGGAATCATTTTAAAGCATACTTATTTATGTTCTTGATGATAAAAGAAAGCTATGGCAACACTTTCTTGGCCCACATATTCAATTAACTACACAGCGAATCTTTTCTACTTACTGGATTAGTAGGCACTTCCAAATATTTATTTTTGGCATTTCATTTCTTTTTTGTTCTTTGCAAGAATTCTTGAAGTTTTATCATGATTTAACATTTTCATTTTGAAAAACAAGCACATTTTTAAAATTACACTCATACAGATATATATATATATATATATACACACACATATATACATATTTTTTCCCTGAGACTTGAATATCTCTGTAGCAGTGTTTTTACGTGGTTATTTTTCCATTAATTATTTTCTAAGCATCTTCAACATGGAAAGCTCAGCAAGCTTAATGGGAGGAGGATAGTGTCCCAGGATGAATAGCGCATGTCTTCCTGTCCCCCAGGAGTTTGTATGTAGTCTGGTAGAGGGACTGATCAATTACTGTTTGAACGGATGTCTCCACTACCAGGCAGAACTGGCTGTGGCCATGAGACAAGAACAGACAAAGGGCTGTAAGAGCACCTCTCGTGCTCACCTTTGGGAGCAGGCCCTCAACTTCCTTTCTGCCCAACTCGGAA